CTTCGCTGCCAGTCCGTGCCTGCCGCGCAGCGTCGCCGGAGCCTCTGCTAGTAAAAGAGCCCCCGGGGGCGCAACCCCGCTGATCAGTTGACCGTTGGGGTTGAAGCGACTGGCTGAGCCAGCGGGAGGTTGAGGCTCCAGTCTCTTTTTTCCCTTACGGCGTGTTATTGTATTTTAGGTTTTGTTTTGAATACTGTAGTGTATAGTTTCCTTCTATCTTTGGAAATTAGTTGGCGAACAGCAGAGTGCGCATGACTTCCTAAACAGGATTTTAGGATTCAGCGTATTCATCCTTAATTCTGAGAGAATTCGGTCATCTCCCCAGTGTCCTGCAGTTGTTTTACTGAAGGCGCTGGTTTGACTGGTCCAGCAGTGTTAGTTGTGCAAACATAAAAGAAGAGTGTACCAGAGTTACAAGCACATTGAAAGAACACGGCTTGCACAGTTACACACTCGTTGCTGTTCTCCCAACACATTTCCAAAGGTGGAAATAAACCACTTCTTCAATAGTATGGTTTTCAAAATAGGATTTAAAGAAGTAGAATAAAATGATTGCTCAGACCCATGGACTTCTCTTCAGTAGCAGAACTAAACTCGGCCCCCTGTGTACAAAGTACAAGTACAAAATGCAATGACCTCTGGCCATTTTGTTGCAGCTGTATGTCTAGTCCCACTGCCCTTACATGGAGGGTGAATATTAATAGGGAGTCTGCTTAAGCAGGTGTGGCATAGGCATATTCCTCTCTCTGATAGGTGGGAGAGGGTGAATATCTTTTTTTTAATAATAATTTTTATTGAAGTTTAAAAATACAAAGGTAAAAAGCTAATATGAACTAAGAAAAATATTTAGAAAAAGGTGCAGAGAGAAAAAAGGAACGGGAAAAAGTATAAAGAAAAAGATATATAAAGAAATGACTTCCCCCTTCCTTAAAACAAGTACAAACAATTTCAGTGACTTATCACTTACTTTAATGTTTCATCCAAAAATCTCTTCATCCCATATGTCATCTTTTATCTATTAGCAAATAATAAAGCCTCCTCATTCAATCTTAATCAGCAAAAGTCCATTACCAGAAATAACTATATATTTTAAACTTAAGTAAATCAATTTCATATTCCTTTCCCTTCCTTTACTCAGTAACTTACCATTTTCTCTAAAAATGCAACAACAACAAAAAATCTTTTTCTCATATCTTATCTCATATCTTTAAACAAATCTTTAAAGCCTCGTCATTCAAACCTAATCAAGAAAAATTTCATTAAGAGCTACCAGAAACAACAACTTACTGAAAATCTTGATGTCTAATCCCTTCAAATAATATCACACAGTTCGTCGGCTTCTTGTTCTGCAAGCAACGCAAAAGCGAAGCCATCTTCAGTCCGTCATTGGTTCCCCAGTGGGGTCAGAGAGAGTGAATATCTGAATTGGGCTATAAAAGTAGTAAGTTACGCTTAGAAATGCATAAAACCATCTTGAAATCAAAGCATTCTGATTCCAGAATGGCTGTTCTGACCTTACCAGGATTCAGACTTTAAAACAGATCCAATCCAACTGTGAAATGAAGGTTACTTCAGGACATTTCACAGTTGGGATGTTTAAATTTCAAAATGTTCTGCATACCTCTGGTTATATTTCCAGTTGTCTGGGACTGATCAGGTATTCTGATATCAGGTAGTGTGTTGGTTTTATTCTATTTTTACTGTATTTTATATTGTTTTATTGTATTTTAATATTTATTGCTGTTTTATTGTGAACCACCCAGAGTCACTTTGTGAGATGGGCGGTATCTAAATTTGAAATATACATACATACATACATACATACATACATACTCTGAAATGCAAATACTCCTGCTGTACTACTTATTATTTGATTTGTAGATATAATTGAGTAAATATTGTTTTTTTAAACCTTGTGTAAACAGTTTGCAGGTCTTGCAGATGTGTCAATATCAGAAGATATCCCTGTAGAAGGTGAAATTACTGTTCCTGTGGGGCCTAATTCTCCAGATGAAGACTACTCCACATTGGATGAACCAGTTAAGGAAACAGTTGTAAGTGTCTTGGTGAAGGGAAGAGGTAAACTATCAGATTTGTCTTAGTGGTCTAGACAAAAACCTGCAAAGATAGATGTCCAAGGACATCAACCTCTCGTGATGTTTGATAAATCAGTTTATCAATTCATTAATATTGTGGCAATATTAATGAAGCCATTACAAAAGAACTTTACCTGCTGTGTACCAAATCTAAGCCTTGGTTACAGTGAAAACAGAGTGCGTTTTTGTACCTTTTTCTGCTACCTGCATTAATTTGCTCTCTCATAAACAAAATTTATGTAGTAAAAATTTCTCTGGAAGTTTCCAAACAGGCTGGGGATTTCTTGGAATAATGTATTGAGTTTGAAGATTTATTCCAGTATTGTTAATTATTATATTTTAGAAGTAATTTCTTTGAGGTATGAATCCCAGTTTTAATGAGTCACTTTGTTAGCACAATTGGGTAAGAAGCTGGGTAGTGAAATCCCTCTTTGATCAAAACTGGAATCTGTACATTTGAAATAATTTTTTACTAGCATTAGAAGCAAGTAGAAAAGAGGAATTCTTCACAATTCAATCATTTCAATTAGCATAACTGTTATTAACGGATATAAATGTACCTTATCTAAATTTGCTTTTGACTGAACATTCATTGAATTTTTCAGATGCGAGATTTAAAAGCAGTTGGAAAGAAATTTGTCCATGTCATGTATCCCAAAAAGAGCAGTGCCCTCCTCAGAGACTGTAGGTACCGGAGCCTGAATGCTGCAGAAGTAATGTTGAAAACCTTTAACTGTGCTAAATTATTTGAAAGCATACTTGCCTCATAATAAGAGTATAACACAAGAGGGAGGGAGAACTTTGAAAGAACCATTTAGAGTAGTAAATTAAGCTTTCTTGTATGAGATAATAGGCAGCTGGGGAAAGAAGGCCTTTTGCTGTTCTGTCCCTTTGTAGAAGTCATCTGTATGATTTGTTTCCTTGCAGGGGATTTATGGGGTCCATTAATCCTGTGTGTTTTACTTGCACTGTAAGTACTTACATTATTTCCCCTCCCCCCCGCCTTAATGCTCTAAAATTGTGTTGTTCACTGGCAAAACTGTAACTGTGATGTAGCCATTGCACATAGTACAGATTCTGAGGGAGCACTGTTTCAAGAACCACATTTGTAGGCCTGGTTTAATAAACATCCATATGGACATTCAGATCTCTACAGTAGATAAGAGCCTGCACTTCCTGTGTGTAACTTATCAATTACAGATCTTTATAACCCATCTTTCCAGATAACCACCTACCCAAACAGTTTTTACAATCCTTTCCTTGCGAATGGCCTTAGGCCAGAGGATGCGACAGTCAAGTGGAGCAGGCTTCTGCCACAGTTTTTATTCAGTACTTCTGCCAAATATTTCCTATTTGAGACTGATACTCAGACCATTGTAAACAGAAATAAAACAGTGGCACAATAGTAAATAAAAATGATTTCCTTTAAAGGATTATAATGCTGTTGTTCGCCCAGATCACTAAAACATCATTCTGTTCTTAGGGGTCTAGATTCTTATACCAGCAGAGTCCCAATCCTAGCCTACAAGCTCAGGCACATTTTGAAACAGGAAATAGAAACCCTAATAAATAAAGCAGAAAAGAGGTGTCTGCTTGCTGTGTCATAACCAGTTTCTCTTCTCTAGAATGCTTCAGGGAGGAGCGGCAGATAGTACAGAAGACAGAGGGCCTCAGTTTGCAGAAGTGTTCGTTATCATCTGGTTTGGAGCAGTTGTCATAACACTAAATTCCAAGCTACTGGGAGGAACCATGTAAGAGACCAGTAGAGCTGCCTTCTGGGGTGGCGGAAGAATTTGGCTTCCTTGGTGATTCTCCAGATGTTCTGTTGCTTTAATTCAGGGACAGATGACTTTTGGGCCAGGACCACAATTTTTGCCTTGGGATGATGAAATGACATAGCTTACTCGGGCAAAGATGACATTTCTGGTCTTGGGAGGTAGGCTGTTTTAATTCAGAATTGGTGTGTTAGCCCTACTGAAGGCTAGCTGCTGAAGTACCTATTTGGAGCTTATTTAAAGCAGATAATAACACTATTGTTATTTGAAAGAACAACAATAAATCAGCAGCATGCTCTTGAGAGCAGGGACTCTGGAAGCCTAAAAAGATGCAGCTAGGGTATGCGTGTGGCCCAAGGAGCCCAGCCCTTTTAACCAGATTGCAGAGTGCTTTTAAACAGCCTAGAATTCCTGGGAGCCAGGCGGCATATAAATGGAATCAGTTATTATTATTAAATCAGTGTAACATTTTATTCCTGTCAACAAAGCTGATAACAAATGTAGACCCTTGATACAAGGAAGCCACCTTTGTGGGGAAGATATACTCTTACTTGAAAATTATCTTAATTTTTTAAAAAATGTTATCTTCCTGTTACTAGCTTGCTCATCAAGGAGAAAGCTAAAACAACTGGCTTTGTGAAGCTTTCTAAAAATTTTTAGAATAAGGCTGACAGGCAGGTGGATGGTGCATTGGTTCTTATAAGCCCATTTTGTCTGGCCCTAGTTTTCGACCTCTTTAGCTAACAGCTTCTGGATAGATTCATTCAGTTTTAAGAAATAGTGGCTTTCAGTTTGACAGCTTCCATTTTGGTGGTGTTTGCGGTGTCCAAGATCCTCAGTGGCATGTACTTTTACTTTAGAATTAACAATCCTATCCTTTAGTAATCAGAATTCCACACTTTAATGCTAGTTGGTATCTTTCTTATGAAGTGTAATTGTACATAGGGGATTGCTTGCAGAGAAAATATACTTCTGGACAACTAAATTGCTTCCTAAGAATCCAAGAATTGTCTAGACCTATTCCAGACCAAATACCATACAACGTGTTTTCTTTTTTCTCTCCCATCTCTGTACATTATCATTTACCAAGACATCTGTCTTTTTCTATCCAGATCTTTCTTTCAGAGCCTTTGTGTCCTGGGCTACTGTATTCTGCCACTGACCGTGGCTCTTTTGGTCTGCAGGCTTATACTGATAGCAAACAGTGGGACTGCTGGCTTTGTTGTGCGTCTTTTAGTCGTGGTGGCGATGTTTGGCTGGTCAACTCTAGGTAAGTTGGAAATGGAGAGCAGCTAGAACTATCTCTGTACGTGGAAGTGAACGCCACTAAGTCCTCCCTGAGTTCATCTGTGTGCCATAATCCCAGAACTTTTGTTGATCAGAATTTTGCAGTTTATGTTGCAAGATCTTTAGTGTAAATTTTGTTTAAAAAATAGGAGTAGCAGAAAATGAGTTCATTAACTCCATTAGTAGGTAGAGAGCCACATTAATTTATGGTAGCTAAAAATTGGAAAGAGTCTGGTAGCACCTTTTCTGACTAACAAATGTTATTATTAAAAGGCATAAACTTTTGAGAGCTACAGCTCACTTCACCAAATGCATGGAGTGGATGAACTGACTAGGATGTAAATTGGGGTGAGGCAGGGGATGGGGAAAAGAGGGGAAGAAGGTGGGTTATGCAGATTATAGACAGGCAGAAAATAATCAAAGAACCACCAAGGAGGAAACCACACACCCACCAAAATTGGCAGAGCAAACTACTATATATATTCAGGCAGAAAATCCCACACTCATTCATATTGATGATGTTACTTAGTTCGGTAATGGAATGTCTGCAAGGAGACAGACAAACTCAGAGAACACCAAAAACTGCAGGACAAACTTTGCACAAAAGAATTAATGGACAAAAGTTTGACATCAGGACTCAAAACAAGGACAAAGTAATATCAGAGCATTTCTACCTCCCAAGATACTCTTGCAGATCTCAAAGCATCCACTTTGGAAAAGAAAGACTTAACAGTATGATTGAGCAAGAAGTGAGGATACATCAAATGGCTTTAGGCTGTCTCAAAAAGTCTGAACAAAAGCATTGGATTTTTAACACAATTCAATTGTTAATTGATAAGGCACTTGTAATCTGTTTCAATCTCCATCTTCATCACTACCTATCTTCTGTTTCTCCCTCATTCTCCTCTCCCCTTCCCTCCTGCCTCATCCCACCAGTTTAACCACTCCACACATCTTATTTTTTAAATAATTTTTATTAAAGATTTTGATTACAATAGTAAAAATAAATACAAACTAAACTCAAGAAAAGGAGAAATAGAAACAAAGAATAAAAAGTGCAGAGAAAGACAAAAAAAGAAAAAGTAAGATAAAAAGAAAAGAAATATATAGAAAAGAAGGATAAAGAAAAAGTTACAAAGAAGTAGCTTCCGATCCTCTTAACAGCAGTTATGAATACATTTACATTTTACCCTCCCTCTCTAAGGTTACATCATAATTTCCTTGTTTCCATAATCTAGCCTTTCTAATCATCAAATCCAAAAATCACAAGTTCATTTTTTTCTTTTTTCAACAAAAAGTCCATAAGGGGTTTCCAGTCACTAATAAATGTAATAGTTGATCTTTCTCTAAGCAAAGAATTTTGCCATCTCTGCTAGTTCCATCATCTTCACCAACCATTCCTCCCTTTTGCGTATTTCAAGGTCTTTCCATTTTTGTGCATATAATCTCGCAGCGGTAATCATATATAAGAATAGTCTTCCATGGGTTTTTTCTAATTGTCCATTAATCCCAACCAAAAAAATTATGGTTTCAGTGGAATATTAGCCTTTAAAATTCTTTGTATCATTGTATGTATTTGAACCCAAAATGTTCTAGCTTTTTTATAAGTTCACCAGGCATGATAAAATGTTGTCCACATTTCCAACATAAATTTGAAGTGCTTTTATACATTCTAGACAATTTTTCTGGAGTCATATACCAATGGTACATCATCTTATAAAAATTCTCTTTTAAGTTATAATGTAAATTTCAATCCTTTTAACCACATATTTTCCCACTGATCCATCAATATATTATGTCCAAAATTCTTAGCCCATTTTATCATACACTTTTTCACTTGTTCTTCCATTTCAAATTTCAGTAAAAGTTTATATATTTTAGCAATTACATGTTCATCATTTGTATACAGTTCAACTTCAAATTCTGCCACTCAATTCCAAATGTCTTCTTCTTAAATCTTTCTCTTAACTGTGCATACAAAAACCATTGAAAATTAAATCATTCTTCAGCCAGCTGTTAATTTGACTTCATCTTATATTCTCCATGCTCTTGTTCTAACAACTCTCAAAAAGTTAACCATTTCTCTTTTTGCTCTTGTGTTGCTGTTTCTTTCTTATAAAATGCTTCTTGTGCTGAGACCCATAAAGGCATTTTCGGGCACACTCTGGGTTTACATCTATTCCACATTCTCAATATCACATTTCTAATATAATGATCCTTAAAATTTGCATTAACCTTAACTTTATCATACCGTAGAAAACCATGCCATCCAAACCTCAGTTAATGCTCTTCTAGTTCTAACATTCTTTTATTTCTCAGCAGCATGTACTTTTTCATCCAAACCAAACAGCAGGCTGCAAAATACAATTTTAAATCAGGCAATCCCAATCGTCCTCGTTCCTTTGCATCTTGGAGCACTTTATATTTACCCCTTGGCTTTTTCCCTTGCCATATAAACCTAGATATATATTTCTGCCGTTGCTTAAATGGTGTATCGGTTGTCAAAATAGGTATTGTTTGAAATAAAAACATCATTCTAGGCAATACGTTCATTTTTATCACACAGATTCTCCCCAATAATGACAATTGTAATTTCTCCCATCTTAACGTGTCCTTAATTTCATTCCATGTCTTAACATAATTGTTCTGGTATAACATACAATTCATGTTAGTCATAGTGATACCCAAGTATTTCACTTTTTTCTCAATCTTAAAACCATTTTTTTCCATCAGTTCCATTTGTTTTTCCATTTTCATACTCATTATCATCTTCATCTTTTGGTTATTAATTTTAAAACCAGCTACTACCCCCAAATTCTTTAGTTTTTCCATTAATATTTCTATTTCTTCCAGGGGATCTTCCAAAATTATCATCAGCAAATGCCCCTTATTTTTCTCTTTTAATCCTCACTCCAGCAATCACTCCATGCATCTTATGAAATGAGCTGCAGTTTGCAGAAGTTTATATTTTTTAATAAAATGTGTTAGTTGGAAGAGGTGCTACCAGACTTCTGGTTTTTAACACTGTTGCCCCTTGGGATGTCTTGATACTTTATTTCCACAAAGATCATTGTCCCGGGCAGCATTGTTTGTTGGGATCAAGGATTCTGTGGACTTTTTGGCTTGTTTATATTTCCTGATATGAGTAAATAAGTTAATGTTAGTTGAATAAATATTAATAACAGGAATGAAATGTATGTCCTACTTGCTTTCTTGTTAGGGAACTGAGGATCACAGTTTAAATTAGTTTAAGTAATTCAGATTATGATTTCATGTATATATTTCCACCCCATTTGAGAGATCTTGTTTAATTTTAGAAGCACAATTGCTTTTTTGATATTTTGGGAGTTCAGTCCAAACGAGTGGGAGATCATGGATGAAAAGCTTTTTTGGCCTTGAGGTCTACGTGAACAGCCAAGCTGGGCTGGAAGAGACTGAGAGCTTTTCTCAGGCATTTCCACCTTCTCTGCCTCAAAAGCAGACCTGCCATCTCTTTTCTTTTCTCTCGATGTTTTCGAGCAGGATTGCAAGGAGAGAAGGAGAGGCATTAAGGCTTTTTCCCAACAACCCTTTGCAGATTGCTGGCTTCCTACTGCAATTAGAATACAGGTAGTCCTCGCTATCTGACCACAATAGGGACCAGAATTTAGGCTGCTAAGTGACCTGGTTGTTAAGTGAATTGGAGCTGATTTTATGATCTTTTTACAAAGGTTGTTAAGTGAATCATCATGGTCATTAAGTGAATCACATGGTTGTTAAGCAAATCCAGCCTCCCCAATGGACGTTTTTGCCGGAATTCACTTAACAACTACATGATTCGCTTAACAATGTCATAAAAAAGGTCACATCGTGATCATGTGACTGCGGGGGTCATAAAGCACTTCTCCCAAGGCTGTCATAACTGGACCATCATTAAACGGTCATTAAGTGAGGACTACCTGTAGGTGAACCTGTTTTTTAAACAGAAGTTGTGACTTTTTTTTTAATGGACTGATACCTTACAGGAATAAGAAGAATAATCCATATTATTTTACATATTTTAAAAACATTTGATATGTTTTTGCTTTGGAAAGCTTTCCTTAGCTGTTAATTCTTTGAAGGAAGCAAAGGTATTTATTTTACATATAATTCCGTCATTTCTCCATGAGCTTAGAGTGGCTTCTACAGGAATGTCATTGGAATGTCATTTTATCCCTGCCTCACCTGTGAGGTAGGCTGGGCTGAGAGAGGGGCTGGCCCAAGGTCACCCTTTCAGTGTTTTAAGGCTGAGGGGGGACTTGAACCTGGATCTCCTCATTACTCAGTACTTTTAATCAATGCATCACACTGGTTTTCAGAATTAATTAAAATTACACAAGAATTAATATTCCATATAAAAGCTGCACAACTATCCAGCTACTTTATTTATGGCCTTTTTATCTGGCTTTTGTAGTGATTATTGTTTCCCAAATTGGCTGATGCCAGTTCCAAGAGGGAGACAGGCTTAGATTTTGAGAAGACAGGAACACTAGTGGTGAGTGATAGACGTGTGTGTCTGCACTGCAGACGGGCTGATCTTCCGCTCCTGGAGCTTCAACTTGAGGCCAATCTTTAATCTTTGCTACATGTGGCCAGTGGATGTGCTGCATTTCTGCTTGCCACCCGCAGGCCAACTCTGGACAAGGGGGAGCACAGCAGCTCCCCAAAGTGCAGCCTTGTTTGTCCAGTGAAAGGGACTGGGTGGGTCTCTCCTGCGCAAGATACGCTTCTCAAGAAGGAAGTATCACAGCTTTGTATTCTCGCTTGATCTAACTGGTGAGAGAAGAGACTTGAGCTGGCAAAGAGAAACGCTTTTGGCGGGTATGGATGTGAGGCTGATTTTATTTGATGTTTTATATTCATAGTGCCTGGTGTTTCCAACATGCATTCTCTGTTGTTTTTGTCTTCCAGCGTCTACAGCCTTCCTGGCAGACAGCCAACCCCCAAACCGCAAAGCCCTTGTTGTCTATCCCATTTTCCTTTTCTATTTTGTTATCAGCTGGATGATCCTCACCTTTACACCATAGGGAATGTACTCTCAGAAAAGACTACAAAACTGAATGAAGGTGTTTTTGGTTGCTTTTCTATGAAAGCCTCTGTCTGTGGTTGACTTGCCCACCTCTTACTCTGTTTCTGCCTTTATTTATAATGAATGTGGTGAAAAGGCTGGCGGGTTCCTTGGCCAAAACCACAAAAGGCCTCAAACTGCTCTGTGGTTCTTTGAAGAGCACTACTTGTCTCTCTCTGCTGAGTTTTATTTTCTACTGGTTCTGTTGTAAGCATCCAGCAAGGAGAATGGCTAAATATGATTATATCTTGGGCCATCAAGATGGTTAACAAAAGAAAATATTGACTATCTAGGGTTAACCAATTTATCAGAACTCCACAGTTCTTTATGAGAATCCTGTCTTGCATATTTCAAAACATTTGCTTACTTGGGATAGGAAATGCTATCCAGTCTGATTTATTGTCCAAAAGCTAAAAGGAGAAAGCTGCAAGAAAGAGGCTTTGTCTTTTTTTTACTTTTTTCATCCTCTTTCAGTTGTTCAAATTAGTGCAGTTTCTTCAGTCCCAGTGGATTGCTTCAAAAGAGCTTCTGGAAGAAGGCAAAAATAAAGCCATTGGCCTTGCTCACCTGCAAGGGATCTTGGTTCTCTGTTTAATCCAGGAGAAAAAATAATTTGCATCAGACTATTCAGCTGTTAAGTGTAGAGAGTCAGTTCAGGCGAGAGTGACTTAAAGGTGAGTTTTGGCACAGGAGGTCCTGATTCTGAGCACGTGAAACACAGAGTTCAAATTCTTACCTCAGAGCGGACCTTGTCATATAAAAGGATTTCAGCTGCTTAAGACCTGGCATCCAGCAAGTCTCGCTGGGGTGGTCTTTCTAACAGGCTGTTGCTGTCCTCTGCCCTTGGGATTGATTACGAAAAGGGCAGTGGGCCTTCTCTGTGAGTTCTGTTTTTTGTAAATTATAAAATGAGGAAAATATTTATGTAGCAAGGTATGGCATAAGCTGTGTTTTCTGAGTTCTGTGCATTCATATGTATTGTGAAAGCTTTGGAGGAAGCTGGCTCTCAGAATGAAGTTGTTCTTGTCTAGCCAGATCCAGGCAGTAGCTGACAGTTTAGTGATACATAGTTTAATTCACACAGTGTAATACCTTATTTTATGTAATTACTTTACCTGTTAAATTACCTCAAATTTATTTTGTGTATAACTGCTGGGGTTTTATTTTTAAAGAGTAAAAACTGTTCTATATAATACATAGGTTGCTTCTTTGTGTTTCTCATTGCAAATATCTGTGTTTTTTTTCTTTACTATGAGTTTAATTTATCCTTTTTTATTTTCTCCTCTAAAATTCCAGCTGTTGGGCTTTTGTTTCTCTCCATTAAAAAAAAGGTTGAGAGAAATTGCTTTGTTCTTGCTCTGTTTGCCATCAAATGTAGAAAAGAGCAAGTTGATGTGGAACATTTATATGCAGAATGTAAATACACTGGGTTAAGATCTGTGTGGGGACTTAAAAGAACCTCTTTAAGATTATTTCTGTTTATAACAACCTGAACTTAAATAATTTCCTCTGCATAAGGAAAGTTCTTTTTAAAATACTTGCTGTGTTTTCTAGAGGAAGTTAAGAAAAAAAAAGCCATAAAGATCCTTTAAAATTAATCTCCCCTGTGAAATTTTATTTTGTATATCATCCTAATTGGATACAAATATCACCTTTACTCTTCTCACAATGTCTTGACCTGTATACTTTGTCACTTCCAGGTTTGGCCTGGAAATAAAACATCACATGGTAATTTTCTTTTCAGCCAAACTTACTCGATTACCTTGTATGTGGGTCTGCATGATAATTGAATAAGTTTGGTTGAAAAGAAAATCTCTTATTGGTCAAAAGCCGAGTTAATGATACTGTCTTTCAGCAACAGCAGCTTAGGCCAGTCTGGTTGCTTGAAAATATCTACACTATATTCCTCAATATTAGGACAGCTGGTTTTAGAAAGGAAGACTGGTGTTAGTTTTCTGACTTCAGTCTTAGCATCAAATGGAGTTGCGTGGCAGAAGAATCTTGTTTTGTAGACTCTGGATGAGAGATTGGTTTGTAGGTGATATTTTTATATATTATACAAAGTAGATATATTAAGTTATCAATTAACCTTAGCCAAAATGAGTTATTTGGTGTAGTTAGTCCCATCCCTTTTGATATGCGATATTGCCTTTTGCAAGTCATGTAATGAGGTGTAATTTTTTTGTGTGCTTATTACACCAGTTGTAATTTTTTAAATTTTTCCTAATGTTTCACTAAGAAATTTGAGGTGTGATATTAGCTAGTGCTTATTCCCAGTGCTGTATGTTTCAGTTACTGTAATGAGACTTAAGAGTTTATTGTTTAGTTTATGCTGATTAGATAGTAATCTGTCCTTTCTCCACTAATCCTAATGCTTTTTTACCAATAGGAAATGCTCTACACTGCTGAATGACTTTGTAGTAAGTTTTTTCCCCCCTTATATTGAGGTTCAGAAAAAGAATAGGTAACTCTTGTGCTCTTTTTTTCTCTGTTGTGACCCACAGAGAAAACTTGACTGGAAGATGTTAGTAAAATGATTTGATGCCATTCTAGAGTGAAGTACCTGCAGCTGCTTTATGTTCCTTTCCCCGTTCCTAGGAGGACAACCATGCGGTGCTGATGCAGAGAGAGGTGGAAGTCAGTACTCTTTCTGTTGCGTATAGCCTCGTATATGGGAAAATTTATTCAGCTGAAGTCCCGTAAACACAAGATGTAATATATGAAGTTGTTGTCATTATTATCATTATTATTATTGACATTTATAAGACTGCTCAATTCTGATGACTCAGGGCAGTGTAAAGTAAAAATCATACAGTACAATTTTTACATGAATTGAAATAGAATACTAGTTGATTGGTTTGGAAGTGATTGATATGGAAAGAAGAATGAAGTGTGGGGGTTCCATACATTTTACTGATGTTCTTACCCAAAAGCAGCACAGTCTATAGTGTTTACAAATTGCTATTTCATCATGTGCTGAGGACAAAACAGGCTGATAGATAAGATTAATATTGGTCTTGTACACAATATAATTGCTAGTGTTTGTGTTGGGGTGGGGTGGGGAATAACATATGTAAATTATTGTAGAGTTTTACAAATTAAAAGACTGGAAGGAAAATGTGTAAATCTGTATTATGTAGCTCACAAACTCTTTCAGCTGTCACTTCCAGTTTTTAAAATACAGTTTTAAAATTTTATGTAAGTATCTGAAATTAGAATGTGAGTAGCATTAAGCACTCTGGCTTAAAACTTGGAATTAAAAAGTTACTACTTTTTAAGTAAAATAAACTCTCAAGTAGAAGTGATACATTTGTAAGAAATTTTGAATTTGGAGAACCCTAGATTTTAGTGGGGAAGTGCAAGGACAGAATTTGGATAAAATAGACATACATTTAATAAATTGTCAAACCTAAGCTTCTTTCATTGCCTTAATATAAAATGCATCATTTTATAGATTTCTGTATAATATTATACTAGAATATTTATATAGTGTAAGAATAAATTATTTTGTTTTTTTTTAACTAGACTATAAACATGTAAAATGTTTTGAAAGCCTTTCACATTAGCTGCATATACCTGCCTCCCAAATAGTAAAATATTTAAATTGTTTATCTGAAATCATTAACTATGAACTAAGGCTTTCTGCCAAGTTTTACAAGTCCATGCTAAACCTCGATTGGGTATAGAGACAAACTGAGATTGCACATGACATAATAGGGCCTTTGAAAGTAATTCCTTCTGTCTTAAAAGGCATTGGATTGCCTCATCTTGGATTAAAAAATGTTCATTTGTCACATTGTTTGTTTTTCATACATGCTGTGAAATGAGTGTTTTGATTTATTTGCATGCTGTTAATAAAAGTACGTCTTAACTTTTTTTTTTTTTTTTAAAGGCAGGATATTTTAATTAGTTCCCAAGTGGCCAGTCTTGATCAGTGGAAACATGGAGCAAGATTCCAGATGAAAACAAATTTCTGGAACATGTAAATTGTCAAATAGTGAGACTGTAGATTTCCTTTGCCAATTGAATTAGCCTCAGCTGTTGAGGGAAAATGAACAAATTATCCCCAATAATTCCCCAGCCCAGAGAATCATGACTATGTAGTTTTTCAATGAGGTTGTTCTGATTTATAATGACCTCGATTTATATGATAATGTACTTCTTCCATAATTCATAAACCAGCCCTGCTGTGTGTTGAGGTCTTCCCCACATAGTTATTTATGTGTATTTATAACATTTTAAATTGGTCTTTCATTAATTACACAATTAAAACAATTCATAATAAACCATTTTAGAATTAAAATCTAAATTAAAGTCTTAAAAGTTTGCATATATATAAATATTTGCATATAATCTTAACACGTAAGATGCTTGTGCGTTATTTTCAGATCATGATCCTCAGAAAATAAGTAGAGGAAGATGACCAGGGGGGTAGAATGCTGGAATAAGAGATTACATTGAATATCACTACCTGGAGTTGCCCTCAAGAGCCCCCTGCATCAACTGTCAGCAGATAGAAAAGTTTAGCTATCCCATCTCTCTTTTATCAGATGCCTCTGTCCTTCTCTCAACACATCCTGAGATAGGACTGCTGGAATTTTAATAACCAACAAGAGAAGACTCAGGAGTACAGATTTACCTGAAAGTCTGGGTGAATCACTATAACTTTTAGTGGCCCTGAAGTTCTTGGAATGAAATAGGAAAGGTGCCAAGCAGGGCAAGGACATTGAAGCACAGGTTCTTTGAGGAATGTGTATTACGTTTTCCGCGACATTCAGGGCAAAAGCATTGCATGATGGGCAACATTTAGGACTGCAGAGTTCCCTTTCTCAGCTGATGAACTTGCCAGTGAAGAATAAAATAGAGCCCCAAAGCACTAGAAGCAGTAGTTCAGGCAGGGTGTTCACCCTGATGCAATGGAAGAAGAGCAGGGATTGAGAGAGGAGAAGGAAGAGATTAGAGGCTTTCCATCTGTTGGCTGCAGCTCTAATGGGTGGTTGATGCAGAGGGGTCTTGGGGGCAAGTTCCTTCTCCCCCCCCCCCACTATTGTATTCAGCATAGCAGAGCCTCCTATTCCAGCTGTAGATATAAGTGGACCAAAAGAATGAATCACCTCTTCAGATACAGTGTTTAAAACATCGAAAATCTATATAGGCCATCTAACTGTAGTAACTACAGAAGTCCTCTGTACAAAACTACAGGGTAGTTTCACATTTTCCTCCACTTTATTTGGCTGGTGAATTGCATTCAGATCACCTCCAGACTTGAAAGCCTTTGGCTGTCAGAAGCTGCCGCCTTTGAAAGAGGAAGAAACAGCACCACAAAGGTTTAGTTTCCAATACCGAGCACTTCTGGAAGAGGCCTTTTCTCAAGTCCCAGCTCAAATGACCCTGGGAGTCTCCCCATCTAGGAGAGCCCAGTGTCCATCTATGGTAGGTAAGGCAGACCTGAGGTCATTTCTCACATTCTTGGAAGTCAGCTTCAACTGGTAAGAGACCTACACTTCCTATTTAACCAGAAGACTCAATAACCTATTCATAATCCATCATTCATAATGCCAGGAAACATCTTGACATGGTTTGGTGGTTAGGTACGGTTCTTTTATGCCTTTAATGCATTTGGACCATTGTCCCTTGTATTTTGGAAATTTCAGGACTTGTTGCTGAATTATGGGGTGAAGATACCAGGCTGTGCTGAATACAAATGTCAAATACTCAGCTTCTCTATGGGTTGAGGCTTTACTGACTTCATTTCTGAACGTGCTCTGCTTTTTTCTGTAATTTTTCCTTTAGCTGCTTAGGAGAGTCAGCCTTTCTCTCATATGAAACCTTTTTGTACATTTACTTCAGTCACTGGAGCTCATAATGCTGTTGGAGATTGAAGCATTCTGTCTATGCATGTAAATGTTCCTGAGAGTGGGAATCTCAGTTGAACAAGGATTAGTGAAGCAGGTTTCATAGAATCATAGGAATGGAAGGGACCTTGGAGGAACCAACATTACCAAAACAACCAATCAGGATTGGGCACAAAGAACCAATCAGAGACCAGCTCTCACCAACCTGCACCAATCGGAAACCAGCTTGGCTAAAGATCAATCAGCAGTCAGGACACTTGGGTATAAAGACAGGAGCCCAGTCAGTCCCTACTCAGTTGCCTGTGGTCTAGGTAGCAGATCACCTTGCCTCTGAAGATGCTAGACACAGTTGCCAGCAAAACATCAGGAAATCTTGTTATCTAGACCATAGTCACTAAACCCTTAAGCTCAACACTGCCCAACAGATACGGGCTGTGAAAGCCTACACCAGAATATTCCCCAGCTTTGTGTCATCTGCAACAGTAAAACAATACAGCATGTCTTCTACTCCCTCATCTAAGTCATTTATGAAGATATTGAAGAGTACTGGGCCCAGGCCAGAACCCCAAGGTACTCTGCACCATTTGAACATAGATCCATTAAGGGCCACATGTTAGTTACAGTTTAGCCAACTGCAAGTCCATCTGGTGGTAAGACCATTCTTCCCACATTGTTCCAGTTTACCAAGAAGAAGGCTATGGTCTACTTGTAATTATAAATATACTTACAAATGCCTTACTGAAGTCTAAGTACGCTACATCCGTAGTATTCTCTTGATCCACATTATCCACATAGTCACATTGTCAAAGAAAGGAATAAGGTTTGTCTGGTATTATCTCTTTTTAATTAATCCAGGCTGGCTTCTAGTAATCACCCTATTTGTTTCTAAGTGCTTGCAAATCCACTGCTTGATGATCTTTTCTAGGATTTTTCCAGGTATTGATGTCAAACTGATTGATCCATAGTTTCCTAGGTCCCTTTTCCCCCCATTTTTTTTAAAATATTGGAAGAACTTTAGTTTTTTTGCAGCATCCTGGCACTTTCTCTGTGCTCTGGGCTTTCTCAAAGGTTTCAGTCAGTGGCTCTGAGATGACATTCGCCAGTTCCTTTAGCACCCTGGGATGTAATCCATCCCCTCCAGGAGACTTGAATTCATTCAAAGCAACTAGATGCTCTGTCACCAATTCCTCATCCATTTTGATCTGCACTTATTTGCTGCTTCCCACAGTGCAGCTTCTGACAAGTCGGACTGCTTTTTCTTTTTATGAAAAGATGGATACAGGATAGAAATTAAGCAGAGCCTTCTCTCTGTTACCTGTCACCCTCTTGCCATTTTCTCCAACCAGTGGGCCAACTGTTTCCTTGATTTTCCTCTTTTGCACATACCCAATGAAACTTTTTATTATTATTGTGGTTGGTTGCGCAGTCAGCCAGATGTTTAGACTGGATTTGTTGCAGGATATAAGCTATTCCGAGTAAAGCTGCCTTTGGCAATTGACTGATGGTGATTTTGTCAATGCTGATGGTCTTCAAGTGGTGCTCCAGCTGTTTTGGGATTGCACCTAAGGTTCCTATAACTATTGGTACTATCTTTGCTTTCTTTTGCCACAGTCATTCTACTTCTATTTGCAAGTCTTTATATTTTGTGATGTCCTTCAGTTCTTTCTCTTCTCTTCTGCTGTCTCCAGGCGTTGCAATGTCCACTATCCAGACTTTTTGTCTTTCTGATCAACAGTTAAGTCTGGGGTGTTGTGTGGCAGGTGCTTGTCTGTCTGAATTCTAAAGTCCCAGAATACTTTAGCGTCTTCATTTTCTATTTGTCTGTTTTGGGGTCCCACCAGTTCTTGCTTGCAGCCAAATGGTATTCCTTGCAGATATTCCAATGCACCATTGTTGCTACTTTGTCATGCCATTGTTTGTAGTCTGTGCGATCTTCTTGCGGCAGATAACTAGGGGGTCCACTGTTTCTTCAGCTTCTTTGCAGGGGCGACATTTGCTGTTTGTTGCTGTTTCTCA